CAAAGCAAAGGAACACCCCTTCTTGGCTGAACCATGTAATTTTCCTGTTTCCTTAGCCTGCTAAGGCTATCCAAAGAGTCTTCAGTTCCCCATCCTCTCAACAATTCCCTGTATAATGAGTAAATTATCCCCTGGGGGAAAAGAGGTTTTAATCACTAGGATCCTCTCTGAGCTCCTGCTCTTCCATGGGTCCTAGTCTAACAATTATCCACTGTTATTAGCTGCTTGATGCCTTTAAGTAGATGTTATCAAATTTTGTACAGATTTTTTAAATTGTTCTTATCCTCACAAAGAGACTTATCTAATTTATTTCACCATTACCAGAAGTGAAAATACCCTTAAACCTTTCTACTTATGTCCTATATAGATATCATTTACACGAATAGGTAAATACATAGCATATAGATATATAGATATGGGTACTATATAGTATGTCTTTAGAATATATTTTTACATGAACAGTATTATAATGTATATTCAGTAAATTTCTTTGTTTTCTTAACCGTATGCCTTATATATCCTTATACTTGCTTGAATAATATCCACTAAACTCATAATGATGAATAGCCCTGGTAGGGTAAATGTACGTCTTTGGTTCAGTTGGTAGTCAAAGGGTACTTTTGCTTTTATAGAACATTTTGATTTTTTTATAAGGTGAATGAATTCATTTTGATTTGTATAGTTAAAATTTTGAAAAATAAGTAGAGTTATACTGGTGAAAAGGGCATTTCCGAGTAAGAACAGAAGACCTTTGGGTAAGAGCGTCATTTTGCCCGACAACTTCTTTAGCATTTGGGGATTGTTATTAACATACTATGTCTATAGTAGCTTTTCCTCTGTGGCATTTCAAAGATCCTACTCCTCCTCCATTTTCTCCAAGGGTTTGGTCAATATCACCACCTAATCAATCCATGCAGTGTCCTCTGCTCGGTGGCAACAGAATATTTTGCTCCAAATACTGAGTCATTCTTTCCATACTTTTCCCCCTTTTGCTTCTGTGGGCACACAATGCACATTTTTGTGGGACCTGGAGAAGCTGAAGTTGAGAATTTGTTTATTTTTTCATGTGAATGAAGATAAAGTTCCTTAAAAACCAAGTCCAAATAGCTACAGAGCAATCCTTTTATTTGCTCATTTACTCTTACACAGACTATTTGGCAGGGCCCTCTTAAAAGTCAGTAGACGGGAAAATATACTGTCTTAAAATATAATATGATGAAAAACAGTGGGCTTCGAATTATTCTCCCAGGGCTATTTCTACGCTTTTCAATAAATTAAAGCAAGCTTGGCCACCTTTTTATGGGTGGCATAAAAAGTAAACAGGACTGAGAAAGCAGATGGCATGCCTAGCAATCCAAGATGCAGAAAATGCAAACCTTCCCAGAGTAAGGATGCCCTTCCACAGGGTTTAATGGGGCATTAATTCAACGTCTGGGTGTGGGGGCTCCTCGGGGGCTGTTTGCCTATATCGTGTCTCCCATGGGCTGTGGCTGCTCTGTGTTAACCCCAACCCACCTTCGTCTCTAGCCTCTACCAGTCAACCTCCTCCCACTTGAATGTTCCTGAGACTGCTTCTCAACTTCTTGTTTCCTCATCAGTTGTCTGTTGGACAAATGAATGAAAGCTAAGCAATTTGTTCACGGTGACAGTCCCGCCAAGTGGCAGGACCCACTTGCTTTTCCACTCAGCACTCCGATACCCACTGCAGGAAGTAGAGGAGAAACACAGAAGATCTCGCTCCCCTTTCCCCATTACCTATCTGAATCCAAGTCCATTTTAGTTAAGTGCCTGGAAAATTGTTATGTGTATATTTTATAGAAGCATGTATACTGTTATTTATAGATGACTTAACCTAATTGCTGATTTGCTATCTCAACAGTGACTGGTTTTACCTTTTAATACGTAATATTAAAAAGATAAAATATTTGCACATAGCTTGATATATATCTTCAGACAGTAAACTAAGACTCCAAATGAATAAAAAAATATTTAAAGTGTATGAGTTGGTGTGTTGAACAAAGGGGATACATGGATTGTGATCAAAGCATAAGTTTATTTTTACCTCCTATAGTTCCTTTGAATATTATTTAATGGGGACAATCACCCCTGTTCCCCAACTTCTAGTGGGTCCATGTTTTGTTTTGTTTTTCACTTTAAGGTATGGTCCCACCACCACTTAAATTTATAAATACGGTTTTGTTTCAGGAATTGGCGCTAGACACTTAATTTTTGAAATACACAACTTTGCTTGGCATTAAGTCATCTCTCCACCTGTTTGGGCTCCCTTGTCCCTTGTGGATGCATCTGTGTCTTGAGATCCCTTATAGCTCTTTGCTCAGTTCTAGGGCAGCTTCCATAAGCCCCTCTCCTCTTCCTGCTGAAGTCCCTTTGCCTTTCCAGATAGCCTTGTGTGTCAGGACCAAGACAAGCCCATGACAACTCTCTTTCCAGCAGGGTCCACATTTGGTCCCTTGCTCTTGACAAATTTGGGGGAGCACTGGGGATGGAGACTCTAGCTTGGTCAACAGGAGACATTCTAAACACAGAAAACAACTATGCATGAGGAAAGGGGGTCACTGGACCGAAACAGAATAACGGAAGTCTCCCTAGTTCTCTCCATTGCTGGGCTTCACTGAACAAGAAATGAAGGGCAAAGTAATGATTAGCCTAACAATAGATTGATGATAGACCAAGAGTAGAATCCAGTTTTCTGATGGGCAGGCATATTGGGCCCTTCTATCACACTATTCTCAAAGTAAATTTTAAAATCTCTTTGCCTTGTTACAGTTCAGTAAAAAGCAAAATCAACATATGGGCTGAGATTTTTAAAAAATTTTTCTTTATTGTTGAAAGTATTACAGATGTCTCCCTTTTTCCCCCCATTGATCCCCTCCACCCTGCATCTGCCCAACCCCCAGGCCTTCCCCATACTATTGTGTGTGTCCATGGGTCATGCTAAGACGAGATCTTTAAAGAGAGGATCTTAATGTTAGACATGATGGAGGACGAGTATACGTATCTCTCCTGCTGCTGTAAATTAGCCTACCCTTTATTGGCCACCTACTCTGTGCCATGTTCTGAGCTGGAAGACAGACGCAAAACAGGACACAGCCCTTGCCCTCAAGTGGCTTACAGAGCAATGCGATGTGCTAAGGTGCTATTCATGTGGAAATTATTATTGATATCGTTTTATCTTTAGAAAGTTTTTTGACTTACAAAGTAATTCCAAATCTCAAAAACCCTGTACGTTAGGTAGCACTATCACTTCCATTTTATAGGTAAAAAAACTGAGGCGCAGAGTTGTAAAGTGGTGTATTCATGGTCCCACAGATATTAAATGGCAAAAATAAGAATTGAACTCGGTTCTTCTGACTCCTTTGCAGTTGTTCCTCTCAGTGGCATTTGCATCTCAGTAAGGATCAAAGTCTTCAGTGAAAGCTACAGGATTCAAACTGGGGGCTTCAGGAGATATTTGGGAGATTGGAGCACTGGGGTCCTGCCGGGGTACCCAAAAAGCCAGGACAGAAGCAACCTGCGGATAACACCCACCTGGAAATAAGTCCTATCCTGGGGGGTAGAACTGCAGCCCCAGTCCTTGGCTGCCCTGAACTGCCTTCCTGCCAAGTCCAAAGCCCGTCTTTCTTTGTGGCCAGAGCCTCTGAATTGCTTTCTGAGGGCTCATTCCTACTTTTCATTAGATTAGGTGCAAACACTCTGAGTAAACAAAAGTTCCCTGCCATGGGCAGGCCGCTGCTAACTCCTACACCCTGGATGGTTTTCTTTTAGTTAATAATTCAATTGCAAAAAAAGAGAGGGGCTCGGCAGGGACTTGGCTCCAGCTGCAAATCAACTGCAGACCCCAGAGGAACTTGAAAGAACCTCCAGCGCCCACAATGGCTCTTCAGTGCAGCCTATGTTTACTCAGGACCCAGCCCACACGTTCCACAGCCCCGAAGGCAGCCCGCATGTAAATGCTACATTGTGCAGTGATTTTTCAGTTATGTGGCTTCAGGCTGGTGGCAGATGATTTGTGAGACGGCTTCAGATCCATCAGGTTTGAAATTCTACATTGGCTGCTACATATTGCTTTTGAGGCTCAATTTTTCTTCCTTCCACTCATGGAAGCTTTCTGTGTGTGCTAGGCACCATCCCAGCTTCCAGAGATAGAAAAACACAAAAGGACGTGGTCGCTGCCCTAAAGAGGAGATGCTAAGAAGAGACCCGTGTGACCCCTTGGCAAGTTCCTTATTTTACTGAGAGCATTACCATGATCCTTGCCATGCTCTCTTTTTAGGGCCCTTTGATGAATTAAGCCAACAGATCAGGGTTCATTTTTGATTAATTCATCAAACATAGGTTGAGAACCTACTATGAACCAGGCACTTCTCAGGGCACCAGAAGATAAAAACACAGAAAAGACAAGGATCTCTGTCAAGGACATTAAGACTAGAAGGAGAGACAGAGCTCCAGAACAATAGTTCCTAAGACAACTGTTCAGGGCACAGTGAAAGCACAAAGGAGAAAGTGGAGAGGTTGGACTAAATCATGAAGAAGACCTCACCGAGGAGATGATGCTGGTATTGAGTCAAAAAAGATGAGCAGGTGTTCAGCCAGATGGACTGTGGGAAGCGGAGTGTCCACAGTACCACGGAAAATACCTCACTCATTCATTCATCAGACATTTATTGAGTACCTACGATGTACCAGGCACGGGAATAGTGGCTGTGGTAGACACTGGTGATACAGAGATGATAAGACCCTGCCCTTACCCCCACAGGAAAGGACAGACCCATAAATAAATAATCAGTACAATGACCTAAGCTATACAGTCGCAAGGTGTTCGAGGGGTTATTTATGGTTTGAATGTCAGCATAAGATTCTGCCTTTCTAAAATTTAAACCTTATTTAATAGAAAGAAATGCTTATAGGGTATCTAAGAGGCAACGTGATACAAAGGTAAGAGTAGAGACTTCAGCATCATGTATAGGTGGGTCATGTACCTTGGCCATACTAGCTGTGAGATCTTGGGCAATTTGCAGAACCTACATAGAAAAAGGCTCCATTTCTCATCTGGAAACTGACTACAGAGTTGTTGTAAGGATTACAAATAAAAATATAGATTAAAGTACCTTGTTATCATAGGTGATCAATAAAAGGTGATTACTGCTTATTGCACATATAACACCGTGAAGTAAATTTCCAGTTTCAAAGTAATATGTTAAGTTTATTTAGGACAATCACTATCCATTACTTCACTGTTAACATAACTATGATCAATATTAAGCCATCTGACTCTATGTGCTCAGGAGAAATCTGGACATAATAAGAGATAAATGAGGCCAGCAAGGCTAACTAAATTTTGAAATCTTTATTGATTACACCAAGAGATTCTACTTAATGATCCAGGCCCATAGAACCCTTGGTCAGATTTTAAAGAGAAAATCAACTTTTTCTATAACCAAGAGACCAAATTGGACCGTATAGACTGGTCTATGGATTATCTAGGGAATTGAGCATAGCCAGGCATCACTTTAAATGCCTAAACTCTGAAATAATTTAACCGATGCAAAATCTTTTGGATACAAATAATGGGACTTTCAGGTATAGCCTAAGCTCACTCCATATGTCATTTACAAATGTAATCGTCATGGAAAATTTATGAGTGGTGTGTTTGTATGTGACGATGGGAAGCTAGGGAAAAAGGAGAACTGGAAAGGGGGTGAATTTTGGGGTGGGAGAAAATTGAGATGAGAGGGGGAAGAGAGAACAAAAGAAGATGACCATGGAAAATGGCAGGGGGCCAAAAGGACTGTCAAGAATAGGTAAGTCTATCCCTGCCTGGCATTGCTCAGAACATCGGCCTGCAGACCAAGGGGTCCAGGGTTCGATTCCGGTCAAGGGGACATACCCAGTCAGGGTACGTGAAGGAGGCAAACCAATTGGTGTGTCTCTCTCACATCGATGTATCTCTCTCTCCCCCTTCCACTCTCTCTGAAAAGCAATGGAAAAAATATCCTCTGTGAGGATTAAAAAAATAGAATAGTTGGGTCTCTATCACATTATAGGTTTTCTTCACATATCTAGTCATTGTCTACTCTTCAACATATGAGGTCACTGAGAGATGCGTTTTGTGACATTTACTGCACAAGGAACCGTCTGAGTCATGACATATCTCCACTTTCTATTTAGATGGTTACATAACTTACATGGTATTTTTAGGCATCCAAGCCACAGAAATCCATAGATTACAGATTTGTTTACCCTAAGCAACCCTAGACAAGCAGGTACATCTTTCTAAAAGCATTCCAAGGATAAGTCTCCTGCTGGCAAACACCATTAGTTTGTTTGCTGGAAGTTGTGTCACTCACATGTTTAAAAAGGGATTTGACTGATCACTTTCTTTCTTTCCTGGTTGTGTCTCTGAAGTAATAAAGAAAATGAATTACGAACCTGTTGCTGAAGCCCATTACTCCACTGTTTACAGTGGGCTGGGACCTCTCGTTTAATCACAGCAAGAACTCTGTGGGGTTGGTATGATTGTCCTCATTTAACAAACAAGTGAGGCTCAGCACTTAAATTGTTTCCCCAAGGTCGTGACATCTGGTGAAATCAGGAGGGCCTCAAATGGCTAACCTCAGGTGCTCCCCCCTCCATTGTGTTCCCACCGATAAGGTCCCCTAGCCAGACAACGCTTCTTATCACGGGGACCAGGCACAGTTCCGTAGCCCCTAACTGGCCCCTCTGTTCCCAAGTGCAACACCTACGTGGCCCTGCATGGCTGTGAGTATATGGGACTATTCAACGGCTGTTGGTCTCGTCTGTCTAGTGTTGGGTGTCATGTATTGGGCCATCCTCATGACCCTAGGGAGAAAAAAATAAAATCAGAGAATGATTCCAGGAGACCCAGCATGTTAAAAGGAGACAGTAGGCACAGCCCCTGGGTGAGTCCTCAGCGGCTCTGGCAGCTGCCTTCTGGCCCCTCCCCGCCATTCTCAGCAATCATCAGGCTTTAAGAGGCCCCTCCAACCCAGACATGAGAAGTCTCGCTCCTTAGGTTACCAGCTCGCTGTTAGAAGTAGCTAAGTAAGTTCATTTGTACTTATATGTGAATGATTTTCGGCCCAAACTGCATTTAACGCTCTAGAGTGTTTGTGTTTTTCAAAACAGATTTTCATTTTACAAAGGACTTAATCACTAGTGCTAGCCTTGTGGCTGGCATTTGGGGAGGAAGAAGGAGAGGAGACAGCTTTCCCGGACACTTCAACAATCACTGAAAAATGACACCTGCGGTCCATCACAACTGGGTTCCCTGGAGATCACGGTTCGATTCCGATCCCCAGCAGAGGGCGTGCGGGAGGCAGCCGATCAATGACTCTCATCGACGTCTCAAATCTCTCCCTTCTTCTCTCTGAAATCAATAAAAACATTTTTTTTTCTTTAAAAAAAAGAAAATTAGGTTCAAATCTCACGTCTTACCTTAAAAAGAAAGCAGATGATTTTTCAGGGCCTGTGCCCTGGGTCGTTCTCACGTGCGCATCACCTGCTCCCTTTGGCACCAACCACGGGCTGACCCGCCTCGTTCCAGCGCGAGCCCCAGCCGCCCCGGGGCCTGGCACCCGGCGGGCACGCTGCGCGCACTCAGGGGGCACTTGCTGCCGCGCACCTGAAGAGGAAAGGGGGTTGTAAACTGTAGAGCGCCCCGCGTGCCCCAGGTACAGCAGCGCTGAGCCTTCCCGCGCTGCCCAAGGAGAAAGCTTTCCTTCACGGAACCAGGCGGGGCCGGGCGGGCGGCGGGGGGCGATGGAGCCGGTTCACCGCAGGGACCCCGGCAGCAGAATTCAGTGGGACACTCGTTTGGGGTGTAGTTGCCCCGCCCAGAGCCTGAGCCCAGACTCTCGGGCCCTCTCCATTCCCGCGCCAGGAGCCCCGGCTCGGGAGGCGGGGCACAGGCGCCGACCCCGCCGGCGCGCTCGGTGCCTGGACGGCGCGGAGGCAGCGTCCCGGGGACGCCCCTCTCCGCGTGACTTTCAAGCTGCGCTTTTAGGACGACAGCGTCTCCTGTCCCGTGCGTTTCGCTCTAAAGAGTGAGGTCGGCAAGTCTGAGTCTGCTTTTTTTTCATAAAAATGTTCCCCCTCTGCAGGAGGACGCCGGCTGGAGCGCCAAGAGGCTGGGGACGGAGCTGGGCGTCCGTTTTTTAACGGTCCTCCGGGAGGAGCCCGGCCTCTAAGGCTGCGTCACCTTTCCGTCCAGGGTTCCCCGGCCGGCGAGGGTCGTCTGCAGCCGGCTCTGCTGTCCTCGCCTCCCCGCGCCCTCACCCTCCGCCCGGGCGGCGCCCCTGGGAGCTCGCCGTCCGGCGCAGCCTCTTTTGGCATCGAGGCCTCCAGGTGCCCAGCACGGAGGCGGAGCCGGGCTACAGCCGCCTCCCCGGCGCCACCGACAAGACCC